GACCTCTACCTGTCACCCTGGCATATTGGCGAGATGTCATTATCAAGGCCGAGGTGCTGCATCACCTAGGCAAGAGAGGTGTATCATCTTGTCAAGATGTTATCATCTAGGCATCCAACATCTTTGATTCCTCACCTAGCGATCTTGTTCGGGACTGGTCTGACCTAGACCGAGAGGTGGCATTTAGCCGAGGTGTGGTACAGCTAGGTCAGTGTTATCCTTCCTAGCCGAGATCATTGAGACCTTACTTGCCCGAAAGCCTATGTCCTAATCCAAGATCATTACCTGCCAGAGTGCCCATGCCACCTTACTTGTTGTATACACCTTGTCATACTTCTTGTCTTGTCATTCTGTCACCTTTTTAGGATAATACCAGTCTTGCCACGTGTCCCAACAGAGGGTTAAGTCAGCCTGCAGAGAGAGAAAACATATCATTTGTTATATCTTTGTCCTAGGAAGAGAGAGAAGCTCTAGAGGAAGAGGAAGAAGTTCTTAGAGTGGAAGAGCTAGATTTCCAAGCTTGATCTTTCACACTTGAACCGTTAGATCCGTGTTTTGAGGTTAGATTCTTGATCTACTCTTGTTATTCTTTATGTTGATCAGATCACATTGCATGATCTAGCATGATCATGAGCCATGCATTGATTTAAACTTGTTTTAGAAAGAGAAAATGATGTTCTTGTGTTCTTGAAATAAAACCATGTTTTGATCTGAAGTTTGTATCAAGATCCATATTTTGTGTTTGTTTTCATAAGATCTTCAAGTATGGGTACCCAGGTCTATGTTTTCGAACTCATCTCATGAAATCTCAGATTTTGAATAAAGAAGTTGTGATTTTAGCATTTTATGTTCTTATGTTCATGTTCTTCATTCTTCAAGGGAGGAAACCTAGATTTCCAGACTTCACTATTTCCCTAGGTGTGGTCACCGAGACCACTCTTGCTAGATCTCACACCTAGGGCCAAGCATCGTATCTCACCTTGGCCTACCTTGCATGATCACTTGCACCATTAGTCTATCTCGCATGCATACCTAGGCTAACACTGCACACCAGGCTGACCATGGTACACTATTACCGGCACCTTCTAACACCTCGGCAGGCAGCTGCACACCGAAGCCTAGGTACACACGTCTGGCCAAGAGTGTGGGACCTCGGCCAAGACCTCCCGGGTTCACCAGACTAGTTATTTTTGCCTAGATCATTTCTGTGCATCCATTCCAAGACCGTGGTTAGTACCCAGCATGTTTTCCCTAATAAAAATAGTGATTTAACTCCAACATGTTTTCACTAGATGAAAAAAACAGTGATTTAACTCCCAGTATGTTTTCCCTAGATGAAAAACAGTGATTTAACTCCAACATGTTTACTTTGTCTTGACTTGGTTTTGGAAAAGAATGCCAGGATCATTTCCATTCATGTAAAGCTTGTTTTAAGGATGCATTGCACAACCATCTTTGAGCATTCCTTCTTGTCTTCTTGAAGTGCATTCAATAGACTTTATTATGTATTTGTAGGTCTTGGATCCTTGCCTTAATCCCTACACCCGAAGAGCTATGTGAATGGTATTTTTAATAAAGCTATGTTATAAAGTTTTGATAAAGCTTTGCTTCGTTTTGGAAAAATGTTTGATCAAGCATGAATGATTATCCCTAATTTTTGTATCAAGTATTATGTTCGTTTTGATGACATTCTTGGAAAGTCCTTAGTGCTAGGGGACTATAAGCAACTAACACCCTTGTTTGAGATATTCTCATTTGTCTTGCCACTGACGGTTACTGCGTGGGTTTGTCCAAAAATGTCATCCCTCAATGTATTATGTAGATGTTATTAAACATCCCAAGCAAGATTTGAAAGACCAAGATTTGATTGATGAACTTGATTCATCCCATGTTTTGTTACAAGCTACAATATGTATTGTTTTGATAAAGATCTAGGATATCATTCATTCAAACCTTTATTAATTATATCATTCACTGAGTATCCAAGCTCACCCTTCCCTTTATATATATGTAGGTAACGAGCAAGAAGGCAGTGACGCCTAAGATGTTATGTGCAAGATGTTTTGATTTATGTTTTGTATCATCTTGAAGATTATGTTTCTTAGTTTTAATTCACTTCTTTTGTATATGTCGGCTTGAGAAACCTTTTGATCAAGATGTAATATGTGCTCCATTTTATTTTGTATTCAAGTTGTAAAACCATGTTAAGATGTATGTCATTTCATTTGATCTATGCACAGTTCTATGGACTACTTAGATTTAAATTTATTACTTCCGCACATGTAAGCCCCATATGTATACTCTGATTGTGTGTGAATCTTTGTAAGTTGGCCTTTGGTAATCTCGGATTACCGGCCATCACGGCACCATTCTACTAGGGCGCGAAATGGGGTCGTGGCAGATTGGTATCAGAGCACGAGTTCCTTATAGTACGTTATTCACACACACTTTTAGTCCTAAAGAGCATAGGATTTCCCTTAGAATGATATTAGGATTGCATCATATTGCTTGCTACTTGACAAGGTGTGTATTATCTCGGCATGATCATTTGTTACTTGCATATATGTCTATTTGTTCATTTTGTTTAAAGAGTCACACTTTGCATACTCCTAGCATCATGAGAAGGGGTAGACCTTTAGTTAGCTAAGATCAATCCGAGGACAGGTTAGACAGATTAGGAAGGTTGGTAAGAAGAGATGAGAATCCGACATCCGGAATTGTTTTGGGGCAAGGTAACTTTAGTTTTGGGACCAAACTTCTTTAAGGAGGGTAGACTGTAATAACCCACATTCATGTCTTAGACATGTTCAGGTGCATGTGCATGATTTCGACTTGTTAAGCTTGCATTTGTAGACTTAGACTTGTTTTGCCTAGGTAAAAGTCCCTGTCTTGTTTTGTGCTTATGTGATTTGCCTAAGTGTTGTATGCATGCTTTGTTCCTTCCTTGCTGTCTCAAGCCTAGGTCATGCCAAGCCTAGGTCATGCCAAGCCTGGGTCATGCCAAGACTAGGTCATGTCAAGCCTAGATCATGCCAAGCCTAGGTCATGCCAAGCCTAAGTCATGCTAAGCCTAAGTCATCTTAAGCCTAGATCACACCTTTGAACCTCTTACACCTAAGACCATCTTGGAACCACTTTGGTTGACCTCCACCTTCACCCTGGCATATTGGCTGAGATGTCATCATCTAGGCCGAGGTGTGCATCACCTAGGCAAAGAGGTGTATCATCTAGGCCGAGATGTTATAATCTAGACATCCAACATCTTTGATCCCTGCACCTAGCGATCTTGTTCCGGGACTGGTCTGACCTAGACCGAGGTGTGGCACATCTAGGCCGAGGTGTGGCATAGCTAGGTCAAGTGTTATCCTTCCTAGCTGAGATCATTGAGACCTTACTTGCCGAAGCCTATGTCCTAATCCAAGATCATTACCTGCCAGAGTGCCCATGCCACCTTACTTGTTGTATACACCTTGTCATACTCTTGTCTTGTCATTCTGTCACCTTTTTTAGGAGAGCCAACCAGTCGTTGCCACGTGTCCCAGCAGAGGGTTAAGTCAGCCGGCAGAGAGAGAAAACATATCATTTGTCATATCTTTGTCCTAGGAAGAGAGAGAAGCTCTAGGGAAGAGGAAGAAGTTCTTAGAGTGAGAGAGCTAGATTTCCAAGCTTGATCTTCACACCTTGAACCGTTAGATCCGTGTTTTGAGGTTAGATTCTTGATCTACTCTTGTTATTCTTTATGTTGATCCGATCACATTGCATGATCTAGCATGATTCATGAGCC